TGAGTAAGAGCTCCCATTGCAGACGCTGTTTTGAGTACTCTGCACACACACCATCTCTTCAATCCTCTTAAGGATCCTGTGATACTGGTGAGGTTTACTCTCCCACTTTTACAGCTGAGGAAACTCAGGGAGATTAAGCAATTTCCTCAGCATTAAGTAACTAGTAGCTAGGCTGTCTGTATGCTTCATCCTCTTAACCACCATGCAAAAGCTTCTTGCCAACCCTGGCCTTAGACCAGCTCCATATAAAGGGAGGGTGGTTTAACCAGCACCGATCAATGAGTCACTAGCACGAGAATACAAAGGAAGGGATTCTGGGCTTCAGACTCTCTGTCCAGTGCATCGCCAATGGTTCTTTTGTGAGGTGTGTCCTGCAAGATGACCTTGGGGCCTGAGCCATATCTGTGTGCCACCCTTCCTTCCTTCCTTCCTTCCTTCCTTCCTTCCTTCCTTCCTTCCTTCCTTCCTTCCTTCCTTCCTTCCATCCTTCCTTCCTTCCTTCTTTCCTTCCTTCCTTCCTTTTCCCTTCTTCTTCTACCCTTTCTCTCTCCCTCTGTCCACTCATTACCTCTCTCTCTTTCCCTAAGCCCCTTCCTCCCTTCCTCTTCTCTTTCCCCTTCTTCTCTCTATTTACCTTTTCCCTTTTCAGAGTAAACAAACCAAGTAGCAATTAGTAAAATGCCTGATGATTTAATAGTGATAGGTTTTTGGTTTATGTTATTTTAAAGTTTTCTGCTGATTATTATGAGCTCTGGTGACGAGATTAATTCAGCCACCATGATTTGTTTCCTTGCCTTGACTTCATAAAAATCACAGGGATACAATAATATAGTTATACATCCCTTGGGCTCGAAAATGCCCAGTAATTACAAGTGATTCACGAGAACAGCTTAACTTGTAAGGGATTGTATTGTGCTCTATAGTAAGCAGTCATTTATTAAGTTTAAAAATGCCTTTAGAAAGGATATAATGGGATCATCAATTAAAAGTAGGTTTGGAAAAAACTCCGGGGCTGTCTGTTGTAATTCTTCTTCACCCAAACTCTCCTTTTCAAGGCTGCCAAGTTGCATATGGGGTGTGGAATGCCTGTTCTCCTTTCCTAATGTTTCCTGATGCCACCTAGGAGCATGGTGCAGCCCCGCTCAGTGCCAAGTGAGGTTCAGATGGCCAGGACTTCCAGGGTTGAGGCACTGCAGTTCTCCTTCACAGCTTGGCCATCCATCATTTGATTAGAGTGAGGTTACCCGGGTGACACGTCCTGGCAGTGGAGAAGCACTGGCCGGGCCTCCTCAGGCAGCTGGGTTGCTGTCCACGTTACTAATGCTCAGCCCTGCCACTAACAGATGGCCGAGAGTGACCTTCCAGAGGAACTCGGCTCTTTTGTAGCAACTGGTGCTTCCAACACATGACTTCTAAAAGTTCTTCTTTGTCTCTGGCACCTTCCAAGTTCCATTGGTTGGCTTGTTTCCTCTCTTCTTCTGCAGAACAAAACATGAAAAGCATATGCTCCACACTTCCTTTCTTGGTAACCTCTCATCCCTTTCCTCTCCCCAGACTTGATTTCCAGCTGAAGTCCTTGTTTCTTCCTGGAAAAGGCTAAGTCTATGCCATGATCTGCTCATTGCATCCTCTGGCCTCTCCTGCTTTCTCTTGCCTCTCCTTGCTAGTGCTTTCCTGGGAGGCAGCCTGCTTCTTCTCGCAGCCAATCCTTCCATCGATGTCTATATCCTATGGTTTCCTGAGGGACCTTGTCATTCCTATCTGCTGCCTGGCCACACAGCCTCTTCATAGATCCACTTCTTCTATCTTGAAACACTCTTTCACTTAACACTATGTATCTGGTAAGTATTGGCTGATTCCCATCTCTCCGTATGTATCAGATGCTTTCATTTTCCTACCTCTTATTTCCTCCAAAGTCCTTGCAGTCTGGTTCTATCCCCAATATTCCACCAAAAACTGCAGTCAAATTGGCCTTTCTCTCTCTCCCTTTTAGACAAATTCTCAGCTCTTTCCTGAGCCATTCTTCTTGATTCCTTCTATATCAGACACATAGATACTATCCCTACTCCTCTCATGATTTAAAACTCATTTTCCACCTGGTTTCTAGGCAATCTGTCCTCAAAATCCTTCATACTCTTTCATCCTTGTTGATTGTTTTTTGAAATAGTTATAATTTATCCTGTATTTTTAATGACCACCATTTGTTCTATCCTATCTACATTATTCTATCTCTTACCAGACCCCAATATACTAACTCTATTTTGATCTTTCAATTCCTGCACTCTTCTCTTATGCATGATGTTTATTTTTACTTTTCTGACTTGGCTTATAAGTTTGTGCATTCAGAAATATCCATTGAGCACCTACTGTGTGCCAGTCACTGTACTAGTGATAGGGATAAAATAGTGAGTAAAACAAATCAATTCCTGCCTTCATGAAGATTATGGTTTGTTAGGGAAGACCAATAATCACACAAATGAAAATCGAATTTGCAAATGTAGTTAGGGCTTTGAAGGGGAGGACCACAGTACCCTGAGAGAATATCATGGGTGGGGCAGTAAGGACAGAGGGAGGAAACTAATTAGGGATGTCAGAAGGGAAACGAGTTGAAATATGAAGGCTGGTTAGATGTTAACTAGTTGCAGAGGCTAAATGAAGGGTTTTCTGAGCAGCAGAAAGAGCATGTGCAAAGGCCCTGTGGTGAAAGAGATCAAGGAACTTGGTGTCAATAAAAGCCAGGGGTGGGCAGAGATCTGAACATGCAGGGTTTGCAGACCACCCTGCTAATGAGGGAGTTTTAAAAAGGGTGGAGGAGGGGAGCATGGTCCCACTGATGTTTTGAAAAGATCCTGTTTATTTAGCCTGATTTCACACAGCCAACTCCCTCTTATGGAGCACACATTTTTGAGATGTGCCAGGGAAGAGAGTTGGCTGGACTAGATTGTGAACTCCAAATCTGTGGAGAGTTTTCAGTGAAGATGCATAAGGCCCTAGGGAACAGGCCTAACAGATGTTATCAGTAAGGCAGGAGGAGGAGAAGAGCTTTAGTTTAGCCACATTCCTCTGGGGACCTCTCTGACTTGGCTTCTCTGGCTGAGTTACATTGCCCTGATCTGATACTCAAGAGCAACAGCTGGCACTGAGGGAAGGAGGCAGTGGTGGCTGTGTGCAGGTTGCTGTGGATAATTGGAGGTAAAAAAGGAAAAGTGGCTCACCTAATTGTATTCTAAATTACATCCATTGTTCAATTTCTTAAAAGTACTTGATGCATTCAAGAAGGAAAGTCCTTTCTGGAGTGGGGGATTGATGGGGGGCAGAAGGAGGGAATGGATGCATAGGTACCCTTATCACATTACTCAGGGTGTTGTAAGTGCAGATTTGAGTGGCTTGCTCAATTACTTTCACTGTGTGCATGCTAACGGTAATAAACTTGGAAAACTGAAACACATGAGTCTATAGTAATTGTTTTTTAGATAGTGTAATAATTCATGATAATTGCTTGCAAAGCATTTTCCCCCTCCTCGTCTACAGGGGTAAATACATTAAAGCCGCGCGTTCTTGTATACTATTTTACGATCTATTAGCATAATAACCCATTGTAAAATAAGCCCTGCTGCTGTGGGAAAGTGTGTGATATTGGTCCATTAGACACCTTTATTCTTATACACAAGCAACTAATGGCACTATTTATGGGCTCATGTTAGTTTTGTATATGCTTGTTACCAACTAATAGATTCAGAGCATGAAGTACTGTTTGATAAAAGTTATCCAACACTAACAATCCACCATGACTCTAACCTTTTGCTTGCTTGAAAATTGCTTTTAGCCCCATGTGAATGGGAAAGTCATCTTGATAAATTTAGCTGCAAGCCAAGCTATAACCAATGTTCACAGAATGTAATCAAATTAGATCTTAAAGCCTTTAATTTCATCATTAGCACGTATTATTTCTTCCCCAAACCTTGTAATTAAATAGCATATTAGGAATAGATAATTTTTTTCCCTTTTATACATTTATTAGGTATCTGGGGTTAAATTTGGATCTCTGTTATGATACACATCTGCTTATTCTTAAATTAGGATAGCTTTAATGATACCTGAAGAATTAGAAAAGTAATTGGTTAACGAAACTAAGGGAATTTGTGGCAAATAAGATATCATTATGTTTACCCGAGCACTGTTATAATCTGAGAGTTGTATAATTAGCCAAATTATACAGAGGGAAATTAGACACTCATTATTTACTTTTCTTGGACATTCTGTGGCTTTGTGCAAAAATTTTCACTACACACATGAGATTAATTGTTCTTGATGTTTACATCTGGTTTATCACAAGTCAAGAATTTCAGATAAATGCTCTTTTCTTACTCCCAGTTAGTAGTAAGAAATCTGAGGCTTTGTGATTACTGCAGGAGCTATTGCTGTGGAGAATGGAGGTTGCATGGGCTGTACACACAGGCAGAACAGTGAATTCAATGACTGTTGACACACAGAAAATCCCCTTTTGTGGCCCAGTGGACTGGTCTGTGTCTCTGGGAAGGGTTCTGGTCTAGGTCAATTTAACTTTCTCCCCTTTAACTCATTTTTCTTCCCATCTCCAACAGAGCTTGCTGCTGGGTTAGCTAAATAAATTCCCAAGCAGCTGGTAGTTCAGTGTTTCCCAATCCTGGCTGCATATGAGAATCACCCAGGGAGCTTTAAAAATCGCAGATATCTGACCCTACCCCCAGAGATTTCAGGGCAATGTGATACCAGGGTTGAACTGACTGCAGAGGCAAAAACAGGGTTGGAAGATAGGAGTCGTGGGGAATGCTGTCCCACTCTTGGCCCCAGAGCCACACCTGCCGGGAATTTGGGATTGCAGCACGCTTTTCCATTGAGCTGAGACTCACCTTCTAGAAGCTGCTGCTGACTGATCAAACCTGACATACAAAATGAAGCAAATATGTCATCCCTGGCTTAAGGTGTTACTCTACAGGCACTCTAGATAGAGAATTCACTCATTCCTTTGGCAAATATTTAATGAACACATACTTGCTGGGTGCCAGGCACTCCTGTAAAGTCTAGAGATACAAGAGTAAAGAAAACAGACATTTTTTGGGGAACCTAGTTGGGGAAATTTAAAAAAAGAGAAATAAAGAAAATGCATACAATATAGAAATCTCTTCCTAGGGAGGTAGCAGTGATGAAGCTAAGACAGAGAATGGCAATTTCAAGTCTTGCAAAGACTCTCTCACAGAGGTGGATCCTCCTTGTTGGAAAAGGCTCTGATACAAGCCAACTGAATCCGAGGAAATCATAGTAGACAGTCAGGGGCTGAACCCTCCCTCTCTCATCTTGCCTTTTCATTTGCAATGTTAAGTTTTTATCCTGCTTGTGACAGGAGGACGTTGGTATAATTGGCCTTCCCTGGAACTGGTCCTTTGCTGTGTCCACCTGATGGCTGCTTTAGGTATTGGTCGTCTTCATGCCTGGGGTCTCCCATGTCCCTCTCTGCTTGGTGGCCAGCTGGTTTTCAACTGTGTCTTCAGAGCAGCCACCTGAAAAAGGACCTTAGATTATAAAATACTCCCTCCTTCTCATTATTCCTCTGTCCCCAGCCCCCAGCGGAGTGGAAGCCCCTAGACTCAGCTTCCTCTGCCAGAGGATTCCCTGCAAAGCACAGGCTGTACATGGGAGTAAAATAATGATGTTTTGAAGGACTTCCTTTCTACTCCTGCAAGGGAAGCTCTCGGTGCCAAATTGTTGACACTGCCTCATTCTCTCTGCCACGCTGAATAAATATATTTAAAATGGGATTCATTTGTGAGTCCTTGGCTTGATTTATAATACATTTTCTATCCAGATATGTGCTGCTACTGTTTATCTCCACAAAATAAACATTAAAATTGCATTTGAACCTCATATTAAATTTATATTCGTGCTATTACAATTTTATTTCTGTCGAGCGATATTCACTTTTCAGACATAAGGCAGAAATAACAGCACATAGGCAAATAAAAGTAGTTATTATTATTTCATTTTCTCCTAAGTTTTTCCTTAACATGTTACTCACAGCCTGCTCCTTTTCTCACACACAATCTATATAGTAAATACTGGGGAGATGAATAGGGGCTGCTTGATTTTTGCAGTGTATCTAGGTGAGCAGTTTCTATTAATAAAGTGTTTTCCATTACTTGAGACCCAGACAGGAGCAGTGGGTCTTTTGTCATGTGCAGTTGTTGGGTGTCCAGTGGTGTCAGAGGCCCACAGTTGGTAGAACATGGCTTCAGGCTTGTATTTCCAGTAGTAGGAATAGTTACTGCCAATAGTCATACACTCTTTAACTACTTGCTCAAAGCTAGAGTCCAGTTTTGTGTCCAAAACGATACTCCAGCCTGGTTATCACACTGTTCCTTAAAACCATCCTGCAATGTCACACTTTAGCCTATAGCAGCAGTAATAATAATAATGATAATAACAATAATAATGGTGAGTAGACATTATTATTTTTGGAAATTTGATTGTAGAAGTAGTGTGGGGGAAAGGTAATATAATTATTTGCAAATTGCAACAAGCTTCTATCTTTAAAAATGGACACTATTCTAACTTTAGGGTAATTCAGTAGTAGAACTTTGATATTCTTTTCTTTTTATTTTGCTCTACAAAATTGGATATTAATGATCTTTTTAAGAGAATTTGGTAATATAACCAAATTTCTTTTTTCTTTTTTTGGTATTTTTTTCTTTTCTTGCTCTACAAAATTGGATATTATGATCACCTTAATTTTTTCATTCTAAAAGATGAAAAATTGTATATTGTTAAAGTGTGCATTTTCCTCCTTCATACTGATATTGATCATATTCAGTGATTAACTTTGGACAGTATGGTCCAAAAAGCTGGCTATCCCTAAGGGTTGATTTTCACGTTTTATTTGCTTGTTGTTTATTTAATGCAAGTAATTTAGTCAGAATAATGCCAAAAGAAGTAATGCTTCTTGCCTTTAGTGGGCTGCTTGATAGCCTGTAGTGAATAATATTAAAAACGAGGATGATCACAAGTACTGTGTAATGAGTGTACAAGTACTATGATAACCAGTTCACATGATTACTTATTTCACCCTCACAGTAAACCTACGAGCTAGGTGCTGTCATCATATCCATTTTACAGATGAGAAAACTGAGGCTGAGGTAAATTAATGTGTTCAGAGTTGTCTTGGTGACTCAGTGGTAGAACTGAGATTTCGATGCAGATCTGTATCATTCCCACCTCAACGTTCTCACTCAGTATCCTTTATTCCCTGTAAGAAGATTTTACAAAATGTGGGAGATAAAGTTGATAAGAATTTTTAGCGGTTTCACCAACAGTAGCCAAAGGACAGTAAGGTAAAAAGGAGAGTTAGGTTTCAGTTTGGTCTTACTCACTCACTACTTTTGTGTTCTCAAACAAGCAGCTTCACAGTTTGGGGTCTTAATATCTTCATCTAAAAAACAGGGCTAATGGTACCTAACTTGTATGAGATGATGGGAAAGCATTTTATAATTAAAGATACTCTGTGAATGGGTTTCATCAGCAGGCTGCAAATTCTCTCCTTGGTTCTATCTTATTCAATGTTTTCATTATCTTAAAGACATGTAGGTCATAATCAACACATTTCTGGTACACTCCTGGGAAGGATAACTAATTTGTTAAGTGAGGTAATCAGGACATATAACAATATCTGTAGGCTGAACTAACAGATTAAGTCCCTCAAGATAAAATTGAACCACTTTAGAAAGTCACATAAAAGACAATGGTAGTCAGTTCATTCCGAACTAACACGTAACATTGATTGAGCACTTACCACATGCCAGGTACTATTTTAAGCTCTTTACATGAGTTTTATAATCTGCACAGCAACTCTCTGGAGTAGGCACTGGACATAGTCTCCCTTTACAGGTAAGAAAATTGAGTTGCAGAGAGACTTTTTCCCCCCAAAGTCACACAGCTGGTTAATGGAGAAGACAGCCTATGAGCCCAGGCAATTTGGACTGTTTAATGCTACCCCATAGTGCACTGTTCAAAAAGCTAACACAGTTTTTGGCCATGTCAATAGAAATATTGCATCCAGGTGAGAATTAATAAGAGTCTCAGCCAACATCCCTGTGGATGTTCCACAAATTTTAAACTGTTATATCCAGGTATTGAGGAATGCTGACAAACCAGAGAGCAAATAGGAAAGGATCATCAGGATGATGTCATCTAAAGGGATGTCTGGGGGACTTGAAAATGTCAAGATTGGAGAAGAAGACATATGGCGAGACAGCCATCTTCAAATATTTACCATCTAGAAGTTAGAATTGGATTCCTGTGAACCCCAGAAAACAGCCCCAAGTATTTGAATGGACAATGGAGGGAGGCAGTTTCTGTACAATACAAGTAAGACCTGTCTGAAGGTGAAATCTGCCCACCAGTAGAATGGACCTCTGCCAAAATGTAAGTGCCCAGTTGTAGAACTTTTTCAAGCTGAGAACGCTTGTGTGGCTTTCCATCAGGAAAGCTGAGCTGATGGGGGATTTCTACATTGGTGGAAAAATTCACTGGATGACTTCTAAAGTCCTTTCCAACTTTAAGATTCTACTACTTCATTCATCAGGTATTGTGCCTCCTACTTTATCCTTAAAAACAGACATTTCTCTTTAAGGTATCACGAAAGGGTTAATGATTAACTGGATTTAAGGTTTGTATGTTTCACTGATGAAGCAGCTTGGGGCAGGAGTGAACACCTGAACCAAGCCGACTCAATCAGATTCTCTCTCTCAGAATTTGGTACCAGCGGTCTTTCTGGAGCTAGGATGTACTGGAGCTGTGGAGTGGGGCAGTCACTTTCGTGCTGTAGTGGGGAGACTGAAAACACCAATGGGCAAAAGAAAAGATAAAGCAAATGCAAATAAAGAATACGGAAATATGAAATCATGTAATCCAAGGCAGGGAAAGAGAGACAGTGAGAGATGATGAGGTTGGCTATTTTGGTTCCCATTGGCTGGCAAATTCTAACTTCCCATCCACCAAGCTTGGCTGAACTTGCTGCTTCTGGGTTCAAGGAGACAGCAGTGGATGCCCCAAGTTAGTTCTGTTTATTTTGTTTCAGTCTGAATAGGTTTCTATAATGTGCCACCCAAAGTTTTTAACTTTGGACAATTCTTTTTAGATAGAGTGACTCTTCTTTCTTTTGTGTAAAAAAACCTTACTTTTACTGTCTTCAATTGGCTGCTTAATAGTGGCAAGTCATTACAGGTACACATTTTCCCCCAAGATATAATGGTTATAATTAAGTGATTCAAAAGTACTTTAGTGCAGAAGGGCCAGGGCTATCCAAATGTCAGACTAAATTATAAAGTGAGCAGAACTAAAATGCCACAGGATGTAACCATCCATAATTTATGAGTAGCAGAATCAGATCAGTCCATAAAATGAACTGGAATAATTTTTTCATGGTTTCATATGTTTTTTATTAAAAGATATGACTCAGTAGCAGTGAAACACTGAAGATTAATAAAGTTGCAAAAGAGTAAAGCATTCTTACCATATCCCTGGGACCCCCTGTTTTTTGATGGTGTACTGGGGGAAATATCATTAGGTGAGGCACTGCTTTATCAGTCTGTGGGAATCTGAGCCGTGAATATTTTAGGTGGGGCATCGGTTCTCAGGAGGCTCCCAGGCTGCTGTTTTTGCCATGGAAGAAATCTCATGGGTCTTCCAGGAGAGATACTCTCTGAGATGTGGATGGTTAAGAGAAATCCTCATAGGCTCCTGGAGCTGTCTCCTGCTTGCCAAGAATAAATCCAAACTCAAGATTGTTTGGAATGGGCCTATGTGACAGAAACATTTGCAATCATGTCACTGAAAATGTTTGTTTTCCTGGGTCTACATGGCAAATAGGATACAGATCAGTGAGCAAAGAAATGGTTTGCTGAGTGGGTTGGACATCACTGATGAAATGTTTGCTGGAAGCGTGTACCATGAGTCTTGCTTCAGCACCCCGTCCAGGGGAGTTGCCATGCTGCCTGGCAGCATTGCCAGCCTCAGTACTTATGAGAAACGAGCTGAAGTATTTGTCATCATTAAGGCTGTAGATTGTTTTTGAGGAGTGTTAAACCTTCCAACCATATTGTAGCTCATGGAGTTTAATCCACATCTCTCTCAAAGTTTGGATCAGATACAGGGCAGCTATCCTTGACATTTATGGAATAAATACGTTCCAGGGAATGGCCAGTAAAGTGCATTGTATAAAGTAAATCACATTTCCCCATTGATCTACTTTATGAAACTAGAGACATACACTCTGGAAACAAATCCATTAAATGTTTGGTGAGGAGATAGCCTAGGTGGCCCCCATTGGAGTCTCTCAGTGGACTCCTCTAAACGTCATCATTGACAAATGCCTGCAGAAGATAGTTCCCTCTTAGTGCCTTGATTTTCCTCTATGTAGGTTCCCTGCACAAGGAAACTAGACACTGGGCATCAGCTCTGTGCTCCACATACTATAGGATTCTCTTCCCAGCTAGGAATATCCTTATGC